AATACAGGGACAGAGAAGGAGCAGGTGCCACGGAATGTGCAACCCCGCCATTTCTTCTGGTGAGGCCAGAGTGCCCCAGGAGCAGCCTCTACCTCCGACCGCCTCCGTCCCTACAGCAGGAATAGCAGCCCGCCCCCCAGGCTGCAGGGACCCACAGGGCGTGCAAGTGTGTTTCTACCCCCGCATGCCCTGGTGTGAAGCTGGGCTCAGGGGCATGTCCTTTGCACCCCAGGCTGTCTGTGGTGCCGAGGAGGGGCAGGGCACACCTAGAGTCTACACCACCTGCCTTCCCTAGGGAGCCTCAGGCCCGAGCCACATTCAAGGCGAGGGGAGCAGAGGACCCTCCACACAGGCCCCTGAGCACCACCGTTCTCTTTCTGCGGATAGAGAACTCGAGGCTTAGGGGACTTCAGAGCCAAGACGTGGTCGCTGACAGTAGAAGAAAGGCTGGCTCTCCCTCCTGGCATCCCTACCTGGTAAGGGGGGCAATTCAGCCTTTCCAAAGCAGTCTGGCTGTTGTAGGAAGGAGAATGGAGCCATCAGGCTGAACTCACTGGACTTGCTCAGGCTCCAGGCTCTCCCCGCAGACAGCCTGTCCTCAGCAGCCGCACAGCTCCGCGCTGCTCTTCCCTGGGTGCCAGTAAGCCCAGGAGAGCCCGGGTAAGCCGCTGGCTGCCCAGCAATTTCAATGCCCAGTGGGAAGAGCCAACAGGGCAGGCCATGCTATCGCTGAGCGCATCTGCAGAGGGGTCACGTCCACCCTGAGTCCTCCCTTCTCAGTAGCAAGCCGCTGCTGCGTTTCCCTGTGTCCCACAGCTGATTGCACAGTGTGGACGGGACTGATCCTCCTCCCGAGACCTCTCTGCCAGCCGAAGGTGTGGACCCTGACTCCACAGCGGGTGTCTACAGGCCCTCCAGCTGGCCCTCCGTGGCCTGGAGCAGCTCATCCTGGACAGACTAGCAGCCATGACTCAGGGAGAACCGCCAGGAGTCCCTGAGCGAGGTGATCTGAGAAACGCCATGGCGGTATTCTAAGCCAACAGCTTGGGCTTACCCATACCTCTCAGCTGTGTGACCCCCAGCAAATGCTGTAACCTCTCTGAGCTCAGCTTGCCCCTCTGTTAAAGAATGGTCCTATGTGCCGCCTAGCAAGGTTCTGAGGAGTATCAGCAACAAGGAGCCCACCGTGGATAGTGCTGCAGGCTCAACTGGCTGGAGCTGGTGTCACGGGTGGTAAAAGAATTTACCAAGACAGTCACGGGCATAGAAAGGCAGCTGTATTAGAGAAAGCCTGAAGACACCTTGCAAGAGAGCCGTGGGCAGCACGGCAGAGAGAAGGCCACCTGCTCAGGGGCAGGGGCAGAGGGAAGTTTGATAGGGTCACTCTGGACAGGCTGCACGCAGACGGGGTCACTCTGGACAGGCTGCACACAGACGGGTCACACTGGAGAGGCTGCACGCAGACGGGTCACTCTGGAGAGGCTGCAC